GTCCCTTCCAACCCAAACCAACCTGTGATTCCATGATTCTGTGATTCTATAAAAACAGACTTACATTTTTTCAGTAAATTCAAGCTGTAGCTAAGGAGGCTGCACTCGGCACACTCCCACCCCTGGGAGCAGAAGGCAGATCCCCTGAGGAAGACACAGGACAGAACTTGGGGCTCATTCCACAGCTGATTGTGGGCAGGAGTAAGCAGTTGCGAGCAGCTCCAGGAGGTCCTACGTGGTTGCATGGCCCAGTTGAGTCTGACTGGTTCCACGTGTCTGGTCCTGCTTCTGCCACCACCCTCCAGCTTGGCTCATCCTCCAACCTTTTTCCTGGCTTTATTGTCCATCTGCCTTCCCTGCACACAGGGGCCTGGAGGAACAACTTTGGAGTGGTGGACATGGGGACATCACAAGCGATGATGCCATGGTCTGGATACCAGCACGGGCAGCTGCCAGACAGGCTTGCATTGCCTCTGCCGAAGTCCTCCCTGGCACATTGTCACTGCCACCACTATCCTCACCAGCCAGACAAAAGCAAACAGGAGGTTCTGGGGCAGAAATGACCTTAAAATCTATAACCTTGTTCACCACCATGTGCTTTGGTGGACCACCTGGAAAAGCCTGTTTGCGATCCCTAAGCAGCATCTCCTCCCCCTGCCTCTGCTCAGTTTGAGTTAAAAGGTGGGAATTTCACCTGGGTTCCTTGCAAATCCTGCTTTATTTTGGAATTCTCTCTTTCACTTTTAAGGGAATAGGAAATAATCTCCCTTTGGTTTTTCTATGCATGCTCAACTATGGAGCATCACCACTGCAGACATACACCTGCAAACAACCTCACGTTGCTCATGGGGACCAAACACTCGGGTAAAAGAAAGGCCTTCACCCTTCCCCACTTGACTCTTCCTCCTCCGAAGGAGCACTAGGAGGGTCAGTGCTCTCCTTTTCATGCTTCTTCATGATTTTAATAAATGCGAACAGAAAGAAGCAGGGATGCTACCTGGTTTTCAGAAGAAAAAAACCAAGAGCTCTGCAAAATTTCATCCCAGAAGGGATTGCAGCAGCAGCGCAATGCTCCCACTGGGCAGCTCCAGTGACAGAAGGTGATGGATCTGCTATATGGTGCCAGCGAGCACCCCCAGGAGCTACAGCACCCTCACCTGAGTCGGGGCTCAGCACCCAGGGAAGGACACACGGACACACGCGCACGGACACGAATGATCAGCAAACAGGCTGATCCCAGGTAACCCCATCCCCAAATAACCCACAGGAGGGGCGGCAAATGGGCCCAAAACAACCAAGTAAAACCCCAGAAGAAAAGGTTTATTTACTGAATGCTGCAGAAGAAGCCTGATAAGTTCTGTTCTCGGTCCCAGTGTCCACCGGGAGGTGGAAGGTGCCCTCCGTGGCACAGGAGGAGGAGGTCTGTGGCCAGGCTTGCTTCATCAGAAGTGTAGCTTGAGTGGAGACAGAGAAGAGGTGTCACACAGAGCAATGAAGATACAACTTCCCGCATTTATGTCACATTTGAACCACTGTGCTGCTCTCTTCCTCCCCCCCGCCCCACCTTTTAAGGACAACTGTCCATAGGAATTTCACACCGTGATTCCTCTCGCCCCACCTGCTCCCTATGGAGGGATGGTTTGCACAGCGCATTGCAGCAAACCAGTTACCTACCCCTAACGACTGGTTTCCTGAGCTAAGGGTCCTGCATGAAGATCTACACCTGGGGGATGTGGCCAGCAGAGCCACCATCCCTCCCCAGATACCACTGGTCACCTCTGTGCATAGGGACCAGTAATGGCTGTCCTTGGCCTTCTGTTTCCCAGCTGGAAAACAGGCTGAGTGTGCCAGGCATTTTATTCACAGTAAAGCCCTTTGAGATGCTTGCATGGCAGGTACCACCAGTGGACCAGGTACTGGTCACTGTGACCATCCCATCATAGCATTGGGTGATCCTTATAAACTCTGGAAAGGACAGTCAGCAGAAGCAGTGGCTTTGGGCAGGTCACCTTCTATCCCAGTTTTTATGAAGCCAAGTAAGATAATCCAGAAGAATCTCAAGAGCCAAATCTTGTGGGATTTGAGAAGGGACCAACAGAATTCAGTCATTTTGTGGGTCTTAAATTTTCTGAAAGAGGAAAAGGTCTTATACTAACTGCCATAATGCACCTTTGTATGAGGAACCAGCACTGGCTATACCTTTATCCTATATCCAAACACATTGCCAATGCTTATCTAAGAAGGACTGCCATTACACTGAAGGCTTTCTGGAGCACATCTACGGAGAAGGCAGATCACCAACATAAAGTTGGTGCCTCCGGGAAAGGCTTAACAGGTCTTTTTCTGGTTTTCTTTTTTTTTTCCCCCTGAAACTATGGATCTGTCCTAACCTTTTGTTCCAGACTAATCTCAAATGGTGGCCCCCACCATCCTTGGTTTAAGTTCCACCACTTCCCAACGGAGTGCATACTCCTTTTGAAAGCCTCAGCTGCTCACCAGCTTAACAAGCTGCTCTAGCTGTTATTATAAAAGAAATAAGCTCCCGGTTTTCATGTACCGCAGTACGTATTTCGCACACCCAGCTACTAAGGAAAGAAAACCAAGCGAGGGTTGATCGATCCTCAGCAAGCCGCTTAGTGATTAGACCTCGCTGTAAAGTTGTGGAGGGTGAAGGAGGTAAAATGATGCAGCTGCTGGAACCAAAGAAAATCACCGATTTATGGCTTCTTTAAAGGTATTTTTTGTGAACGCAGAAGGTAGACTGTTGACACGCTCTCTCTACACCAAATTACTGAATTCTCCAAGATCTCTAGAAGGTTGGAGGTCAGGGTATGTCCCCGTTGTCCCCTTCTCCCCATGCGGGTGGCATTAGGGACAGGTAGGATTTCCCCAGAGATGTGGTAAAGGGATTTTGGGTCAGATCTGCCAACTCAAGAGACTTCTGGAGAAAAAAAAAAAGGACCTTTGGGCAAGAGAGGAACAACGGAGGCATGATTTTGTAGGCAGGGAACTGTTTCTGATAGCAGAACGAGCCAAGCTCAGACAAAGGCATCTGGTGCAGAAAGAGGAGCTCTTTGGGAGGGACACCATGGCCCGCAGGAGGAGGTGGTGGGTTCCTTATCCTCCTGTCAGCCCCAAGGGAGTCACACATGAAGACATTTTAAAGCTGTACTTCATAACTCCTTCTCCCAAGCAAGTTCCTACCCCTGAGGGGCTCGGCGCTAAGCCCCGCAGAAGGGACTTCATGACTTGGTCGGGGCTGGTAAACCTTTCTGCAGCCCAAAGGCAAGATCAATGATGTTTCAGCCCTCCAACGCCTCCATGTCTGCTCAGACTCTTAATTAACCATCTCTGAAGATGCAACTGTAAATCTGGAGTGCCACAGGGCTGGAAGTTGGGGACGAGTGATTGAGGAGGCCGAGGAGGAATTGGTGCCGGTGCCACAGCCCACGCCAGCCGCGCCACAGGTCCTAATGGTTGGACACCACTGCCCAGAGACAGCGGAGAAGCACTGCTGCAGGTCTGTTGGTCCACCAAAAACTCATGAGACCACTCTCCTAGAGTGGGACAGAAATACAGGAGCGTGGAGGACACCCAGCAGCGATGCTTTACTGGACAGCATGGCAACCATCAGCTCTGCGGAGACGTTTATGGGTGCAGGATCTGGATGGACGGTGCTCTGCTGCTGTAGATGTGGAAACGTGCTCCTCCCTCATCGCCTTCTTCAAGAGTAAACCAGGAGGTTTGTGGGAAGTGAGAGACTCAGAGCGCAATTTCTCCTCCACTCGAGCACTGATCACGTTCTGCTCCGAGCCTGTGCCCCCTCCCAAAGGTTTGCGAGTTATTAAGGATTTCCAAACCGCCTTGCTTTATTTTCCATGGTACACTGCACTCCTGAACATCACAGTGGAGAGCTAACTCCCAGCGCTGAGACAGAAACATTCTTTGACTTACGCTTTTATTCAAGATCAGATTCATTTTTGCCTCTGGATTTCACAAAGGTTTTAATCTCCAAGACTGATGAGACAATTTATTTAGATGTTATATTCCTTCCTCTGCGGTTTCTCCTTTCCACATTAGACCTACCAAAAAATCAAGGTAATTTGGGTCTGAGATGGCTGGGAGCTTGCCATAGCTATGCATATTCTGTATATTAAATCATGGATCCTCAGAGAATCCATCACTTAAAACTACACAAAAGGTGAACCAAGGAGGCTTCTAGGAACATTAATATCTTCGGGTCCTTTGCAAGAGCTACAATTCACAGAGGTTACAATCCAGCCATGACTATCTAATATTATTTAAGGTCTGTCTCCTACCAGTGTCTTCTGGGTTTGGTTTAGTCTCTCACCTTCGCTGTTCATTGAAAAATAAAGAGCTTTTATTCGTTATGTGTTGGATCCCTGGCAAATCTAGTGGTGGGAACTGGGCAAGCAATGTGAACTGAGCGTGGGTCTCTGCAGCGCTGGGACTGGTCTGTCTCCCTGCGAGGACCTCTAGCCAACGTGGTAATGTTCAGGACACATTTTAAGTGGAAAAGAGAAAAATATGAACTAGATATGCCTGAAGAAAATTCTGTGAATTAATTGAAGTACAGAATCACAACGAAGGGACGAAGCAGATGATACAGTATATATAGTATATATATTTCTTGCTTCCCTCTGCCAACCTTACTTGTGATGGAAACAGCCTTGAGCCTCGTACAAAGTTTGCAACAAGCTTAATTCCCCAGGCAGTCCCATTACTGTGTGCCTGAGTGCCTCAAAACAGTGGGAGCATTTGTTCCTGGAAAGCCTTGCAAGGCTCTACGGGATATTCACCCCGCCAGACCCCAAGATACCCACCTTAGGGGACCCATTGATGTCCCTAAATAGTCGATGGGCGCCTATAGAGGACGGTTCAGAGCACTTATGTGGGGAAAGACAATGCCTATGCTTTTCCTTTGCAGAGCAACGTTTCCTCCGGGGAGGACCCATGGATCGGAGCCTCCGTCCTGTCCCACAACATCCCCACAGAGACCCCTAATTTCCGAGGCTGATTTTAGAAGTATCTGTTCTGCTCTGTAAGGGCACTGAAATAATGGATGCAAAGCATTATTCTCCCCTGCATTATTAATAAATGCAGTTAAAGCATAAGCCAGCCTCCATAAGCCAGGGAAAAGTGTGTGCCCTACTTTCAGGGAAATAAAAAGGCAAGCTTTAATGAAGGAAGTTTAAACAAAACAACCATCTCAGGAAGACAGAATGCCTGGGAGGGAACATGCACCAGGCTTAATGAAGACATACATCATTTTTTTTTTTTCCTAAATTGGCATGCCTCATGTCTCTGCAGTAGAGTGATTTTAGGCGCTCATTTTTACATACTTGAAAGGAATTTTTTTTAAATAATACCGTCCTAAATAACCAGGCTTATTGCAAGCATCAGAGTTCTCAGTGCCAGTGTTTTGCAGTGATCTTGTAGCCTGCCTTGTGTCTCTCCCTCTAACAAATATGGAAAACCACAAACAAGAAAATCACACAAGGCAGAAACTTGTGTTGTTTCAATGAATCGGGATGGAAAGAAATTCATTCCCTTGCTTCATGTAGGGCTCCTTTGGCTGAGCTTTGCAAGCAATGCGGCGGCTGGCTGTTATCTATGCCTTGGGAAGGGTGGGTTTGAAATAAGCTGGTGAAGAATTTATCATCCTTTTGGTGCTCAAACATTAGCAAATATTCACCAGATACCTGATGCTGAGAGAGGGAGGAATCAAGACTGGTTCCAGTTACCGTTTTCCTTTCCTCACTGCTGCTGGACCTGCATGGACCAAGGGGACCCTAGACTTCTCCAAGCTCCTCTCCATGTCTCCTTCTGCTTTTCTGATTGAAACAATTACAAAGTTTGAGGCACTAAATCATTTAATTTTCCACGTGGATCCCAGGGTCTTGGGAACCATGAGGTCAACAGAAGAGCACGAGCATTGCTGACTTCCAGCGTGGTGTCGGGGACTGTAGCGTGAGTGTTTGGAGGACATCAAGGACGAAAGCTGATGGCACATAAGTAGCAGGTATTTGAAAACTAGACTTTGAAAATTAACCCCCACCAACGCACTTCTCTTCACTTGGGGTGAACAACACCAAGGGCAGGAGCAGAGGGCAGTCTTCGTCTTTGCTCGGTGGCTGATCTCTTGCTAAGATTTTGCGTGGAAGCCAAGCAAAACTGATGAGATTTGGGGCAAGAGACGCCTAACCAGAGAGAGCTCGTCTGAGGAACACCTTTAGGGTGGACCAGACAGGGTGATCAAGCTGGTCCAGAACAGTTTCTTTCAAGACTGACAGCTCGCTTTCAGTTGTATTGCACAAATTCGGAAGTCACAAGCAAAGGATGCTCTTCCCACCCTTTTCAACCTCTATTCCAAGTGGTATGAAGGGGCGCATTTCCCTGGATAACCTACATACGGAGAATCAGATATCCAAGC